CTGGCTGCCAGAAGGTGGAGAGAGGAAGATACATGGAGTAACTGTTCAACAGGTATAGACTTGCAGTGCTGCAAGATGTAAAGATTTCTGGAGATGAACAGTCGTAATGACTACATACCAATATGGATAAACTTAATAGCACTTAAAATGATTAAGATGTTAAATTTTTTTATGTATTCTTCTGTAATGAAAAAATCAAAAGGAAAAAATACAGATATTTACTTGTATTTAGTTCTGGAGGCTGAGAAATTCTGCATCAGGGTAGCATCTTCCAGCAAGGATATTCTTGTTGCATCATCACGTGGTGGAAGGTAGAAGTCAATAAAATAAGATGAGGGCTGAACTTTCTCTTTTATAACAAATTTTCCTCATCCATATGAGTAGAGTGCTCATGGCCTAATCACCTCCCAAGTGTCCCTACCTCCCAACATCTTTATTACATTGACAACTAAATTTCAACTTGAGTTTTGGAGGTGATAAACTTTAAAACAAAAAACACTTATAAAACATAAACCCAACTGATTTTAAGAAGGTTAACACTAATCAACTACTCTTAGAAGAAAAAGAAGGACTCAGGATTTTCATGGACAAAGCATCAATTTAGTCAATAATATGATAATGGAGATGAAGACAGGATGATTAATATAGGTCTACATAAGTCATTTCTTCCATTCCTTTTCATCAGGTTTCTACTCTGGAACTCACATTTCTCTGAAATTAATCTAGTGGGTTTTTTTCTTGCATATTTTAGGATCTTTATGTTTTACTGTGGAAAGTTTACTGCAACATGTCCTGGTGAAAATCTTTTCTGGTCATGTCTATTAGGAGTTCTGTGTGCTTCTAATACTTGAACCTCCCATTCTTTCTCCAAATTGGGAAAGTTTTCTGTATTATTTCACTAAACAGGCCTCCAATCTGTTCTCTCATTCCATGACTTCAGGAACTCCTAACATCCATATGTTGTGTTGTTTGATAGAATGGCATATATTTCCAACAATCTTTTTAATTTTTCTAACTTTCTTTTGGTCTTAATGAAAAACTTCCAAAGATTTGTCTTCTAGCTTGGATATTCTTTCTTCCACCTAACCAAATTTGTTATTAAGGCTTTCCATTGTATTTTTTATGTGACATATTGAATTTCTTTCTTTTTTTGAAAGAGTTACAGAGAGAGGTAGAGACAGAGAGAGAAGTCTTCCATCCTCTGGCTCACTCCCCAGATGGCCACAAAGGCCAGAGCTGCACCGATCCCAAGCCAGGAGCCAGAGGCTTCTTCCAAGTCTCCCACATGGGTACAGGGGCCCAAGGATTTGGGCCATCCTCTACTGCTTCCCCAGGCCATAGCAGAGAGCTGGATCAGAAGACGAGCAGCCGGGACCAGCGCCCATGTGGGATACCAGCGCTTGTGGCTGGGGCTTTAACCTGCTGCACCATAGTGCCAGTCCCTGAATTCTTCATTTCTAAAATTTCATTTTCATTTTTCTTCAAAATCTCAATTTCATGTGAGAATTTTTCACTCACATCTTGTGTGGATTTCTTTAACTTGTAGATTTGCTTCTCATTGTTTCTGAGTAATCCTATGATTAATCTTTTGAATTCTGGTTCAGGTATTTCATCAATCTCTTCATTTCCACATTAAAATACTGAAGTGTCTTTGTGTTCTTTTGGGAGAGGGTCATGTTGTCTTCCTTATTCTTGTTTCTTGAATTTCTTTGTTTATTTTTAGGCATTTGTGGAGGTACTTGATGGATTTTTCTCTGATGGCAATCATCTTTGACTCTGTGGCTTAGTGGACAACTGCTCCTTCAGGGAATACCCAGAGGTGTGTGCTGGGTGTGGTCTGGAAGCTCTGATCAGTGCTCCAGGGAGGGAAGAGTATCCATAGTATCAAGGGTGACACCCGAATTGGGCATGGTAGATCTCTTGTTAACAGAAGCAAGGGTATGGTCACCTCTTTTGGCATAAACACGTCCTCAACTCCTCTCTTCCAAGTTTATCAGTGCCTGGGTGTTAATCCTTACTGGATGCAACACTCATCCATGCTTCCACATGATCTACACAAAGGATCTGTGCAGTCCTCATTGTGAACACAGATCCCTCTGCAATGACGTACTCCAGGCAATCAGGGAGCTCTAAGCATGTGGAGCTTCACATAGTGATTTCCCAGTGATCCTGCTACACCCTGTGTCCTCTCATGCTGTCACAGAATTCCCACAGTCTCAGCATTCAGGGCTCCCATAGTCACGGAGTGCATGGGGTCCACAAAGAGGATAAGACTTTCTCAGATTCAGCTACCTATGGGTGCTCTACCTAGGCAGTCTCAGCCCCAAGCCCCGGAGTCTGTGACATTTTGAGAGGCTGGGGACACCTCACAGTCTACCCATCCCCAGTTAATCATCCCCACTCAAAGCCAGTGGATAGTGCAGATTTTTCCATCTGGTAAAATCCCTGGATCACACATGTGCATAATACCCACTGGCTGCAGCCCTACTCTTCACAGTCATGCTGGGCACATACGAGAGTCTCTACAGCTGGTACTTATGTTGGAATGGCTCCTTCTCCCCACCCACTTCTAGGTTTGTGCACTGGAGCTGCCCCATTTGCTCCTGCTGATTGTCCCTACCAGTCGCTGTGTGTGTACACACAAGACCTGCAACAGCTGCTACCTACTTATGTCCAAAATGGTGCCAATCCTCTCTCAGCAGGTTTCCAAGCACCATTGTGGAGGGAATGGGGAGAGAGATGTTCCCTTTTTCTTTTTCTCTGGGTAAGCAGGCACCTTGTTCCCCTCAAGGCTCTGAGTCTGACTCAAAGACAGTGTAGTCTGCCAGGCTCTCCCTCCAGCTATATCACCAGTAGCACGGGCCACTCCAGTCTGATCTCATCTTGCTCTCCAAAGATGGTGCTTTCTCTGGCTCAGGGTTTCTAGGGTCATTTGCTGTGTCCATACTCATTGCTTTGTGCCTGCACCATCCACACAGATTGATGGTGTCTCACCTCCTTCTGTAAAATCTCCACAGCAGTTTTCCCTCCAACTCTCCCTTGAGAATGCACTTTCTCCACTTTTTTTTTTACTATTTTTGCCTAGCCTAGAGCATACCACCCTGTTGTAATTCTGCCATACAAAACCTGTATCAAAATATTTTTCCCCAGTTCATTTCATACCTAGTTGCAGAAGCAAATCATGTTTAGCAAAGGAGCAAAACTTGACACAATCTCAAAAAATAAGAGTAAACTGATTCAAATGCTGACTTCAACTTATTAAATACATGTATGAAATGCTCCCCTTGCAACTCCTATGGTCTAGGCTTCACTGGCAAAGAATCTCACTCAATTTTTCAAAACTAATTTGATCTCCTAGTTACAGGGAATACTTTCATATTTTCAGGCTTTTATAATGTTAAGTTTCTTTTTTTTTTTTTTTTGACAGGCAGAGTGGACAGTGAGAGAGAGACAGAGGGAAAGGTCTTCCTTTGCTGTTGGTTCACCCTCCAATGGCTGCCGCGGCCGGCGCGCTGCGGCCGGCGCACCGCGCTGATCCGATGGCAGGAGCCAGGAGCCAGGTGCTTTTCCTGGTCTCCCATGGGGTGCAGGGCCCAAGCACTCGGGCCATCCTCCACTGCACTCCCTGGCCACAGCAGAGAGCTGGCCTGGAAGAGGGGCAACCGGGACAGAATCCGGCGCCCCGACCGGGACTAGAACCCGGTGTGCCGGCACCGCTAGGCGGAGGATTAGCCTAGTGAGCCGCGGCGCCGGCCAATGTTAAGTTTCTTAATCACACTAACGTTTATCAAGAAAAAAAAAAGAAAAGAAAATACTGATCTCTCAGATCAATGTGATGGATTCATTTATATTCTATGTAGGATCTCAGTATGCCTCAATCTTTTCTCATTCAGTCTCTATTCTATAAAGGATGTTGTCTGCCAAAGATGAGGCATTTGAAATTTCCAGATTTTTTATGCCTGCTTGCAAAATCTCCATGAAGAAAGTGCCAGAAGCCACATTAGGCAAATTTAAAAGGAGTACTCTCTGGGGCCAGTGCTGTGGCCTGAAGCACCGGCATCCCAAATGGGCACCAGTTTGAGATCTGGTTGCTCCACTTCCTATCCAGCTCTCTGCTATGGCCTGGGAATGCAGTAGAAGATGGCCTAAATCCTTGGGCCCCTGCACCCAAATGTGAGACCCAGAGGAAGCTCCTGGCTCCTGGCTTTGGATCGTCATAGCGCCAGCCTTTGTGGTCAACTGGGGAGTGAACTATCAGATGGAAGACACCTCTCTCTCTCTCTCTCTGCCTCTCCTCTCTCTGTGTAACTCCTTCAAATAAACAAATAAATCTTTTAAAAAAGGAGTACTTTCTCTCTTCCATTCAGAAATTCACAAAAACTACCAAGAAAGAATAATACAAAGCACTAATCTGAAAAAGCTTTAAGCAAACACAAAACTAATGCACACTTGAGAGAAAATGAAATTCTGAGTAAGTTTCAACAATGAACATAACTCAAAACTTAATATTACCTGCACAGTCATGATTTTGCTAACATATTTTTGCATGGTCATTGTCAAATATAACTCTGCAATAAATATTTGCATAGTCATGATATTGCTAACATATTGATTAACCATGAGAAATATGAAATGAGTTTGTTGGAAAGATAAAGGGAATATGAACTGTGAAAGAGTAGAAGCCAATGTGCATTATCAAAGTCTGAGAAATCATAAAATATCACATAAATATTCTGACAAAGTATTATTATAGAGCATCCCCTGTCCCAAAAAGTAGTATTAGTGAAAATGAAACTGAAGGTAAGAAGGAATGTGTCAGAGAACTGGTGGCTTTAATCATTTAAAATAATTTTACTTTTAGCATAAGCACCAGTACTTTAATATAAGAAAAAAAATCAATAATTCAGGAATATTTTTAATTCTATTAAAATATTTTAGAAAATATCAAGCAAAACTAGTCTCTCTGTACTAGAAAATCAGTGTATATATTTTTATTTTTATTTCAGTTGCGGCTTCAAAATCTGGCAGTGCAGATTCAAGGTCGTATAGAGACGTCCAGCATTCATCTCCTCCTCCACTGAAAAAGCCTAAAGCGCCTGCACCTGGAGGTGAGTGCTAGAGGAAGAGTTCCTGACACAGTAGAACAGTATTATATCAATAACAGGTGTAGAAGCATAGACAATTATCTCACTCATGTGAAATCTAAAAAATAGGTCATCTCAGAATTTAAAAACATAATTATGGTTATCAGAGGCTGGAGAGCAAAGTAGTGAGGGAGGATGGGGAAAGTTTGATTGATGGATACTAGGTTACAGCTAGATAGGAGTAAGAAGTTCTAGGGTTCTATTAAACAGTAGGATGACTACAGATAATGTTCCTGTATTTCTCTATTAAAGAGAAATATAAAAGATAATTAAAATGCTTGAAAGGATAAATATCTTTGCCATGATTTGATACTACAAAATGTACACATTTAACAAAACATCATATAATGCCCCATTAAAATACATAAATTCCATGTCTCTTAAAATTTTTAAATAAATATATTTTTAAAGAAACCTAAACTTATCCAGGAAAGCTGGTATAGTTCATGCCATTAGTTACATGTTCATGACACTGATTGCCAAAAAGTTGTGATATTGGTTTCTTGTAAAATAGGGAGATGGAAAATGGAAAAAGGTAAAGCAGAAGAAATGACAAAAATATTGTTTCTCATAAGAGGGCCCAATAAACATTGTTTAATTTTTATAAATCATGAAATGGAATATGGACATTCTATAACAAACTATTATCCAATATTTACCTCAAAAAAAGTATAAAATAAAAAATAGAGATAAGAAATGGGTCAAGAACAGGTCTTCAAAGAAGGAGGTACCTTTCTCTGAAGGGAGGAGAGAACCTCCACTTTGACTATGACCTTGTCTAAACAAGAGAAGAGTCGAGAACTCAAGGGGCTTCCATAGCCTTGGAAACTCATGACTGGTACATAGGGAGATTACTGATGCCATAAACAGGAGTGTCAATTTGTAAAGTCAACAACAGGAGTCACTGTGCACTTACTCCTCATGTAGGATCTCTGTACATTGAGACTTAATGCTATAACGAGTACTCAAACAGTATATTTCACTTTGTGTTTCTATGGGGGTGCAAACTGTTGAAATCTTTACTTAATGTATACTAAACTGATCTTCTGTAAAAAAAAAAAAAAAAAAAAAAAAAAAAAAAAAAAAAAAGAAGAAGAAGAAGAAGAAGAAGAAATTATCAATTCCCAACTTGACTCTCACTGGGATTAAACATGGCAATAGGTCTGATCTGATTTCATCATCATTAAAAAAATCATCTATTATTTTTCACTTTATGTTTCTGTGTGGGAGAAAACTGTTGAAATCTTTACTTAATGTATGCTAAACTGATCTTCTGTATATAAATAGAATCAAAAATGAATCTTGATGTGATTGGAAGGGGAGAGGGAGTGGGAAAGGGGAGGGTTGCGGGTGGGAGGCACGTTATGGGGGGGGAAGCCATTGTAATCCATAAGCCGTACTTTGGAAATTTATATTCATTAAATAAAAGTTAAAAAAAAAGAAATGGGTCAAGAAACTGGGGTTTTATTTATATGAAATTATTAGATTTTTAAAATATCTGTTCTTTGATATTAGAAAAAATAAACATGAATGATTCAACTAAATTTTGTATATTTAATGATTTTATACAGACATTAAGGAAGACAAATCTAACAAGCAACTAAGTTCATTTTTATCTTCCAATTTCAGTTATGACTTCAAAACCTACCAGTAAGTTCCCCTTTGTAAATATCAATCTTGAGTGCTTCATTACCAAATCATTCATACCTGCTTCCTCTGGCTGCTGCTATCATTTCTAGCACTGTAAATCTACCCTTCAGAAAACTACAAAAAATTGTACATTCACCCATAAGTTATTTTCACGTTTGTTTTTGCTTATTTTCTAGGTGCTATCTCAGGACAAGTCAGTAAGTTCCTTTTCTCATCTTATCAATAGCATGCATTACTCTCTTATTAACAGGAAAAGGTCTCCTTTCCAACAATTCTATAAGTCCCTCATTAAAAGAGTATTATCAGTATATTGAGCTTGCAAATAACACCTTGAAAAGGTTCATTTTCCTCTACATACTCTGGAAATCACAGTATATTGAGCGAAAAAAAAAATGTTTTTAAAAAACGAAACTGTGGGGCTGACATTGTGGCATAGCAGGAAAACCCACTGCCTGCAACAGCAGCATCCAAATATGAGTGCCAATTCAGGTCCTGGCTGCTCCATTTCCAATCTATTGTCCTGCTAATGTATCTGGGAAAGCAGAAGATGGCCCAACCCTGCCACACATGTGGGAGACACAGATGGATCTCCAGGCTCCTGGTTTTGGCCTGGCCCAGGGCAAGCCATTGCAGTCATTAGGGGAGTGACAGAACATATTTCTCTCTTTCCCTCTTCCTCTCTCCCTCTTTCCCTCCCTCCCTCTGCCACTCGCTATAAATCAGCATTTCAAATAAATAAATAATCTTTTTTAAAAAGCAAAATTTCAATAGCTAATAAATAAGAGAGGATCCAAAAGTATAAGAATTTTTTTAAATAAACTGCTGAGGTTGAAAAGTAGAGGGATGGATAGTAACTTGGATGACCCATGCAATATGAACCCTAAGCAAATTCAAGAGGACTAATCAAAAATGGTTAAGCCTAAACAGAAGAACCAGAGATCTCAGGATTCCCAGGGATGAGGTAACATTTCAGTCAAGCATGTAAAGGTGAAGCTTAAGACAGGATGATTAGCTAAAAAGTTTGTTAAAATAGGTTGATATAAATCACCTCTTCCCTTTCTGTCCTTTAGACTTATACTTTGCTCTTACAGTGTTATAAAATAGAATAATACGGTTTATGCTCAAAAGAGATTAAAGCAAAGGATCCCTGGATACCAGAACTCCATGTATAGGCAAAGCAGGTTGGCATCATATAATAGAAGGACAAAAAAACAGTCTGCATCCTACACTTTCTCCCAGTGTACTCAGTTAAACCTAGAAGTCAGGTTCAAATCCATGTTCAAGACACGTATAGGGGGGCTGGCGCCATGGCTCACTTGGTTAATACTCTGCCTGAAGCACCGGCATCCCATATCGGCACCAGGTTCTAGTCCCAGTTGCTCCTCTTCCAGTCCAGCGCTCTGCTGTGGCCCGGGAAGGCAGTGGAGGATGGCCCAAGTGCTTGGGAGACCAGGAGGAAGCACCTGGCTCCTAGCTTCAGATTGGCATAGCTCTGGCCATAGTGGCAATTTGGGGGGTGAACCAACAGAAGGAAGACCTTTCTCTCTGTCTCTCTCTCTCTCACTGCCTAACTCTGTCAAAAAAAAAAAGACATGTAAAGGATACATCCTAGAATAAAAGAAATTATGCATTAAGAAAGACCTAGATATCTTGATACTCAGGGTCATTCAAATAAATCTTACTTGTCCAAATGACAATTCACATGTATGCATAAAATATCAGCTACCTAGAACTTCATTATTCAATCTCCGAAGACATTATAGGACAGGCTCTAAATCAAAATCCAAGAACCAAACTACTATGTAAAATATTAAAGATAAAACAATTCACAAAATTTATATAAAAATTAAAAATCCAAAGTAATATAATTAAGATATTCAGGAGATACAATATTATACCAATTAATAAACAGGACAATATAAAAAAGTTGCATTAAGGGAAAAGGAGCTGTAAAATATCAAAAGCATGAACAAAACACATGTTAATATTCCATACAATTGTTGGAAAATTATGCCAAAAAATTCCTAGAAAGTCAAATGAATCAAATAAAACAAACAAAAAGAAAGAAAATAGGAACTAAAAGAAAGGAAAAGGGACAGGCATTTGGTTGAGTTGATTAAGTCACCAGCTGGGACACATACATCTCATATCCGAGTGCCTGGATCCAAGTCCTGGCTCTAATCTCAATTCCAGCTTCCTGCTAACGTACACTCGGGGAGGCAGCGGATTGTCCAGCAAGTAGCCAGGTTGCTGCCACATATGAGAGACCTGGATTGAATTTCTAACCCCCACCCGCAGGTTTGGCCTGCTCAGCCCTAGCCATTGAAGGCATTCGGGGAGTGAATCAGCAGAAAAGAGTGAACTCGATTGCTCATGCTCTTTCTCTCTCAAATTAAATAATTAATTAATTAACCAAAAAAGGAAACAGTTCTAGAAAATATACTTCACATTGATAAAAGTATCAGTTAGCGATATAATATTTTGCTGGTGAGGAAAGGGGGATCAAAAGAGAGAAGAGGGAAAAGTAGAAGATAGTCATTCAGATTTCAGTACAATGAAAATTAAAAGTACATGGCCTTCTGTAGTGTCGGTATCCAATATGGGGACTGATTAAAGTCCTGGCTGCTCCACTTCCTTTTTTTATTTATTTAATAAATATAAATTTAAAAGTACAACTTTTGAATTATTGCAGCTTTCCCCCCATAACCTCCCTCCCACCCACAACCATCCAATCTCCCACTCCCTCTCTCATCCCATTCTTCAACAAGATTCATTTGCAATTATCTTTATATACATAAGGTCAATTTAGTATATACTAAGTAAAGATTTCAACAGACTGCACCACACAGACACACAAAATTTAGAGTACTGTTCAAGTAGTAGTTTTACCATTAATTCTCATAGTACAACACATTAAGGACAGAGATCCTACATACGGAGCAGGTACAAAGTGACTCCCAGTGTTGATTTAAGAATTGGCACTCTTATTTATGACGTCAGTAATCACTTGAGGCGCTTGTCATGAGCTGCCAAGGCTATGGAAGCCTCTTGAGTTCACCAACTCTGATCTTATTTAGACAAGGCGATAGCTGCTCCACTTCCAATCCAGCTCTCTGCTATGGCCTTGGAAAGCAGTAGAAGATGGCTCAAGTCCTTGGCCCCCTGCAGCTTCATGGGAGACTCAGAAGAAGCTCCTGGCTCCTGGCTTTGGACTGGTCTAGCTCCAGCTGTTGCGGCCGTTTGTGGAGTGAACCAGCAGATTGAAGACCTCTCTCTCTTCCTGCCTCTCCTTCTCTCTGTGTGTAACTCTGACTTTCAAATAAATAAATAAATCTTAAAAAAAAAAGTATATGGTTGGGGGGTGGGTTCTGCGGCTCTGCACTGTGGCGTAGTAGGTTAACCCTCTGCCAACAGCGCTGGCATCCATGTGGGCACCAGTTCATGTCCTGGCTGCTCCTCTTCCAATCCAGCTGTCTGCAGATGGCCTGAGAAAGCAGAGGAAGGTGGTCCAAGAGCTTGGGCCCCTGCACCTTCATGGGAGACCTGGAGGAAGCTCCTGGCTTCTGGTTTCAGATCAGTCCAGCTCCAGCCATTGCAGCCATTTGGTGATTAAACCAGTGGGTAGAAGACCTTTCTCTCGGTCTCTTCTTCTCTCTGTAATTCAGACTCTCAAATAAATAAGTAAATTTGTATAGATCTACCATATGAAACAGCAATCCCACGCCTGGGAATTTACCCAAAGGAAATAAAATCAGCATATGAAAGCGTTATCCATACTCCCATGTTTATTGCAGCTCAATTCACAATAGCTAAGATATGAAATCAACCCAGATATCCATCAACTGAAAATTGGATAAAGAAATTTTGGTATATATACACTGTGGAATGCTACATAGTGCTAAAAACAAAACAAAACAAAAAAACTTACAAAATCCTGTCATTTGCAACAAAATGGATGCAGCTGGAAACCATTATACTTAGTGAAATAAGCCAATGTCAAAAATTCAAATACCATATGTTCTCTCTGATCTGTGGTAACTAATAGAGTACCTAAAAGGTAATCTATAGGAGTAAAATTGACACTATGATGCAGTGATTCTGAATAGCCCTTGTCCTGACTGGAGGAACAATGTTGTTTGTATGTTTGTTTTTGTTTTTTTGTTTTAGTTTTTTCTCCATCCTATTTGTTGAGCTCTTTGCTTAGTGTGTAGAGTTAATATTATTAGTATAAAGTTAAATGAAAATAGATCTTTATAAAAAATAAAAATGGTCATGGGAGAAGGAGGTGGAAGAAGGGTGGGAGTATGAGCGAGGAAGAGGTAGGCTGGGAAGAATCACTGTTCCTAAATTTGAATATATGAAGTACATAAAGTTTGTTTTCCTTAAATAAAAGCTTAAAAAAGAAATACTTAAAAAATAAAAAATAAATAAAATAAATGAAAGTACATGAGAGACCTACACAATAGAAAAAAAAAGACACACATCAAAACACACTACACACATTTTCAAAACATTAAAATAAAAATTGACAGATTTCTTATTATTAACAGGTAAATTTAGAAAAAATAGAATATTGCTTAAAAATTCTAACAGAAAGACTCTCAATAGATAGAATTGTGTTATCTTCTAAAATTCTATCAAACAAATGTGAAGATCAAATGTGGCTACTTTCATAAGCAGAAAATCACAAAAGTTTCATCTCCCATGTGTCCTTCTCAAGAAGAAACTAGAAATGCTCACCACAAAAACAAAGATGTAAACCAAGAAAATGGAACACAAGAAATTTTAAAAATCGGGGCTGGCACTGTGGCTCAGCAGATTAACGCCTTGGCCTGGAGCGCTGGCATCCCATATGGGTGCCAATTCTAGTCCCGGCTGCTCCTCTTCTGATCCAGCTCTCTGCTCCTGGCCTGGGAAAGCTGTAGAAGATGGCCCAAGTCCTTGGGCCCCTGTACCCACGTGGGAGACCTGGAAGAGTCTCCTGGCTCCTGGATTTAGATCAGCAGAGCTCCGGGCATTGCAGCCATCTGGAGAGTAAACCATCGGATGGAAGACCTCTCTCTCTCTCTGCCTATCCTCTCTCTGTATAACTCTGTCTTTCAAATAAATAAATAAATCTTTAAAAAATTTTTCTAAATCATGTAATTCAATGCAAAGGCCAAATTGTGTTTTCTCAGTATGTTAAAAATAAAAATCC